AAAATTGAAAAAAGTGCTCTGACCGATCTCAAGTAAACTTCATGAGAAATTCATATCTGTTTTTAGATTGCTTATCGGATCAATGTTTCACCCTGTGCGATGGACAAAAAATGATGTGTTTTGGCTGAAAAAAACGGTCGGTATCCAAGGGGCCTTAACAGTAAACTAGTACAGTCGAAACCGAGCACAGTAAGATATTACAAAAGTGTGGTCCAATATACCCAGCCTATCTTCAGATTCACGGCAAGGCCTTTTTATTGGATGTGTTTTTATAGGAACTTTGCCACTATTGACTATATTATGTATTGTAGTATGTAAGATTCTTACTATGTTAGTTATTAATCTTCTACGCTGCTGTGCACATTTTTTCAAAACCAAAATTATATATTTTTACTAATTCATAATAAACATATTTTACTATTCGGCCAATTTCGAAATGTTTTGTTTTTCGTTAATTACACCTATTGTTGACTGAAACCTATAGATTTATTTACTCATTTTAGATAGTGATTTTGTGTATTGAAGAGTGTTATAATCAGGTGTCAGGTTAAATTGAGATAAAATTTTATAAAAACAATATTAAAAAAAATGTTTTGATTTCTAATTAAACCCTATGAGATAAAATATTATTTATTTAAGAGAAAAACAACAGCATATTTTGTATTATTTGTTTTTGAACCAAACCATAAGTCGAAAACAAGTCATATATTCTAATATCTAAAACAGTTGGCTTCGATGACTAATATGGCAATACATACAGTAAAATCCTATTTTACTTTAGACATTTGGCTTCAAAGACCAATCTGAGAAATACAAAGATAAAATCCTAATATACCGACGCTTTACCGACATACTAGTTATTTACCAAAATACAGCATTTTTATTATTTGTTTTTGAACCAAACCTACGACGAACACAAGAAACATACCTTTAAGTTGAAAACAAATTGTATATTCTTGTATTCAATATTTGGCTTTCCTAAATAATTCTGTGTAACACAACAGTAAAATCATCTAAAAAAATGTATTTATTTAAGAGGCAAACAACAGCATATTTTGTATTATTGGTTTTTCAACCAAACCTACGTCGAAAACAAGTCATATATTCTAATATTCAAAACAATTGGCTTCAATGACCAATCTGAGAGTAACATATATGAAATCCTAAATATGTACGCTTCACTGAAATCTATTTTTAAATGAATTTTAATATTTTTTCTTTTTAATAGTTATTTAAGTTCTAAATTTAGGTCGGATGTTAGTGTGCGGTTGAGAAATGCACACAGATAAATATAACCCTGCTCTTCACTCTTCCCCTCGTCCTTAATTAAAAAACTTAAAGAACTTTGGAACTATTTTTTCAAAACTGGCCATCGACCAGACAAAATGTTCAACAAATAATTTATAATTTAAAAAGTACCATTTACCATTCAAGTTTCAAAAGTTGATAAACCTAAATAATATTAAAACAGAAATATTAGAACGTTGTCTAATATTAGGGCGTTGAAAAATCACACGCGGTATATTAAGATCAATTTTTTTTAGTAAATCCGTTTGTACAAAATGGGTAAACATTTTTTGCTAAAATTTAAAATATTACTAAACAACCACATTTTTCACTAGTCTCCAAAAAAGTATATTATTATATTCATTTTCAACAATTTACTAAACTGTCATTTCCAAAATACATTCAAAATAATGTAATATAAAACAAAACACTTTTATTGAACAAAGGAAATGTATAATGTTAAACGTTTTGATTAGAATATAAATTAATAAAATAGCATGAATAATGCAACAGCTATGTTTTTGCTGAATTGTACATAAAAATATAGCATATAATATCAAAAACTAACTTAAAAATATTAATTGTATAAGTATTTTACCAGCGCTTAACTTTAATTTTAAAATTATGCTTAGATTCAAACGATGAATATTTTCTTTTAAGCCTGATTTATCTATATGTCTTTTCCTATAACTTTTGAAACTGGCCGACATTCAATCTATCAACATAGTAAACTCTATGGTTACACCCCCCCCCCCCCGCATTTTGTTTTATAAATATATATTTATAGATATATCAATTTTGTTTTGATTTTTACGAAAAACCATTTTTACTTTTGCAAGTTTTTTGGTACCAATTCATTTTTGTACACGTAATTTATTGATTATATACATGTATATTTTATAGTACACTATTACTTTTGCTTTTGGGCCGCTATTTATAATAAATCAATAAAGTCCTAGTCCATAATTAAGTATAGAATATAATATGTTTTAATATATATGTAATACACGTATATTTATTAATGATTTACTATACACATTGCGTATAGTATAATTAATCAAGTATTATGTTAGTAGTACTTTTGAAATAAGCAACCAAAAAGGCAATCTTTTCGATAAACATTTTTTTTATATTGACCTATTTTTTTCAACTATAATTTTTAGGTACTTTGATAAGGTCTAAATGTATAATAGTTATATGTATTTATAACTCTTAAATATAATTAGGTCATCTAAGCCAAACGTTTTGAATACCAGCTGCGAATATCAATACAAATTTGTATTAAAAAAAAATACGTTAAATGTATATCTAATGTATTCAATTAAGTTAACAGTTTTTTTGATACAAAAATATAGGCTACGTTTTTTTTTCGGGTAAAAAACAAAGTTTGGTTTAAAAACAAAATCATCGAAGCCCGATTTTTGGATATAAGAATATACAACTTGTTTTCGACTTATAGGTATGTTTCTTGTTTTCGACTTTAGGTTCTGCTCAAAAACCAATAATACAAAATATGCTGTTGTTTTTCTCTTAAATAAATAATATTTTATCTCATAGGGTTTAATTAGAAATCAAAACATTTTTTTTAATATTGTTTTTATAAAATTTTATCTCAATTTAACCTGACACCTGACTATAACACTCTTCAATACACAAAATCGCTATGTAAAACGAGTAAATAAATCTGTAGGTTTCAGTCAACAATAGGTGTAATTATTAACGAAAAACAAAACATTTCAAAATTGGCCGAATAGTAAAATATGTTTATTATGATATATTAAAAATATATAATTTTGGTTTTGAAAAAAATGTGTACACTACATTTGACAAATTATTTAGTTGGATTCGAAAGAAACTGGATATTATTATGACACCTACGGAAACTTCCTGAAATAAAAAATAATAACAAATTAAACAACTGAATTTATTCTTACGACACCATTATCAAAATTAAACTATGGTAAATATTGTTTAAGCATGTCGGAATTAGACTTTTTAAAACTACATTTCCTTAAAAAAAAGTTGTTCAACACAAAGGTATAAGGATATTTATTATTAACTTGATATACTAACTTTATAATCTAGTAATCTTCAATCTAGTCATCACCACAACACATTGTTTTATACAAATATTCATCTCGAATACCATACAGTCTTCTACCTAACCAGATAAAAGAAAAGCAAGGACAACAACACCACATAACCGTTTCACCAAAACAAACGGCCGCTAAATCATGGAGACATTTACTTTATTATTACTCATATTGATTAAACTATATAAAAAAAAAGGTTACATACCAGGAGTTGCATTTACCGTATCCTCTTCTACCGAACAAAATTAATACAAATCAAAGAATTATGAAGCAGCGTAGTAGATTAATATCTAACATAGTAAGAATCTTACATACTACAATACATAATATAGTCAATAGTATATACTGGACCACACTTTTGTAATATTTTACTGTGCTCGGTTTCGACTGTACTAGTTTACTGTTAAGTCTCGATAAATAATGGTTAGCCAACAAATTAATATTAAAGTCCCTTTCTTCCTCATCCCTATACCTATTCAATCTTTCCTCCCATATAAAAACTTAGTTGGGGTTACAAATAATATTATAATTGCAAAAATAATTACGAATATTGTGTGAATTTTTATTTATTATTATTTTGTAAACGTAAACATACCGACGGATCTTGTTTGTGTAACTGAAAATAAATAAAGTTATAATAAGCCAAATGGACCATACAATAAAATATAAAATGTACAAACTAAATAAACAATATTAAATACAAAATAAATATGGTCATTTTTCGAGTGACTTATTACTGTAAGTGTACAAAAACGAATTGTGCCTCATCCCAGCCTATATATTTATATTTTAAAAATCGCCAAAATAAAATACCAAAACTTTTTAATATCGACCATTCTTAGTTTCCGGATTACACTGATTATATAAGATTTACTTTTGGCCATGTATGTAGACAGTATAATACAGGGAGATTTTCTTATCACGAGCCACTCAATATCTGATAGGGTTTAATAAGAAATTAAAATTATTATTTTCATATTGTTTTTATACAATGTGATCATAACTTTTCACAAATTTTTTTGCTTTAACCTCCCTCGCCACTTAGTTTTTTTGATAGCAACTTTTGAAACCTAATTTGTAACGTATACCTACATTTCATTAAATTTTTAATTGAGAATAACGTGCTACAAATTTGGACTGGTCGATAACCAGTTTCGGATAACTATTTTTGATGTTATTGAAGTTTCAAGTTTAGGGCAGGAGGAAAGGTCGCGTGTAGTATATTGTTTATCTGCGCGCATTTCCCAACCGCACTTTCCTTCCCATCGTAACTTTAAAAATAGTTATCCGGAACTGGCTATCAACCAGTCAAAATTGTTAGTACATTATTCTCAATATAAAAAAGGTAATAAAATATACATGTTATCATTTAAGTTTCAAATGTCACTATCAAAAAAACTAAGTTAGGAGGGGGGTAAAAACAAAAACAAATTGTGATCACATTATATAAAAACAATATGAAAAAAAAATTGTAATTCCTTATTAAACCCTATGAGATATTAAGTGGCTCATGATAAAAAAATTACCCTGTATATAGTACAAATTGTTGGAAAATTGTTATTAAAAAAAATAAAAATATATTGTTACACGTTATTTATTATTTTATAAATGTAAACATACCTGCTGGCGGTTTATGTGTCTTTGGTGGTTTTCCTGAAAATGGTTAAAGTTATTATAAGCCAAATAAACAATATTGTATATAAAAAAAATATGATAATCAAAACTATTAGTCAAACTATAAAGATTTGTCAGACCAGCTTTTTTTTATTATTAGGACATCTTAAATTTTTAAAAAAAGTGGTATTGAAAAAGTGCGCCTCTTCCCTTTCAAACAAAATTATATATTTTATAAATCACCAAAATAAAATGTCAAAACTACTTATCGACCAATATTAGTTTCCGGATTACACTACTGAATAAAATGGATAACTAATTTAAGTATAAAAATTGGTTTTAGTATGCGTTATTTTTATTTTTATTAAACAATTGTAAAATCTACAAGCACCTAATAATAATTAAGTGTAATATACATATTGAATAGAGGTACCTTACTAAACTAAATTAAACTCACCACCGGGTTTTGCGTTAATGACTGAAATACAAAAAAAAAATTGTCACTTAATTTTACTATACCAACCGTCAAAATATCAGTATGATAAATACACAATGGACTAAACAATATACATATTAAGAATATTTGGTTTTAACTACATCATTCACAAAAATACATTTGTAGAAATTCATAATAATATTTAATTTTACCTGTAACTATTGTCAAAACAAAAAACAAAACTACTAGTAAAATTCTGGTAAAATTTCTTTTATACGACATATTTAAAAACACCACTGCAGCTAAAAGGTAAACACAATTTTAATTTTATAATAACTCTGAAACGATACGGTACGTTTATTATAAGTCTGGTTCGGCTTGAGAATGATTAAGAAATACAATAAACGGTGTAGTTATAGGTTTACAGTAAATCCCCTATAAAAATATTATTTATCTAAGAAATAAACAACAACATATTTTGTATTATTTGTTTTTGAACCAAACCCTAAGTCGAAAACAAGTCATATATTCAAAAAATTCAAAACAGTTAGCTTCGATGACTAATATGGCAATACATACAGTAAAATCCTTATGTACGCTCCACTGAAATTTTAATTATTTACTAAAAAACAGCATTTGTATTATTTGTTTTTCAACCAAACCACCTACGTCAAAAACAAGAAACCGACCATTAAGTTGAAAACAAGTTGTATATTCTTGTATCTAATATTTACTTTCATGACTAAATCTGTCTAAAAGAACAGTGAAATCCTCTACAAAAATATTATTTATTTAAGAGGAAAACAACAGCACATTTTGTATTATTTGTTTTTGAACCAAACTTAAAGTCGAAAACAAGTCATTTATTCTAATATCCAAAACAATTGGCATCGATGACTAATATGTTAATATTATACATGAAATCCTAATGTACCCTTCACTGATATATGAGTTACTTACCAAAACACAGCATTTTTATTAGTTGTTTTTCAACCAAACCTATGTCGAAAACAAGAAACAGACCATTAAGTCGAAAACAAGTTGTATATTCTTGTATCCAATATTTTTTCAATTTTTCATGAAAAATATTTTTTATTTGAGAAAAAAACAACAGCGTATTTTGTATTATTTGTTGTTGAACCAACGTCGAAAACAAGTTATATATTCTAATATCCAAAACAATTGGCTTCGATGACCAATCTGAGAAATACATAAAAGAAATCCTAATGTACGCTTTACTGAAATAGTATTTAATTACCAAAAAACAGCATTTGTATTATTTGTTTAATGTACACGTGTAGTGTACATGTGTATAAAGTCGTTACACGTGTATGTAATGACGTCTGATGTAGTTTTTGAACCAAAACTACGTCGAAAACAAGAAACATACCTTTAAGTCGAAAACAAATTGTATATTCTAACATCTAAACAATTGCCTTTGATGACCAATCTGAGAAATACATATATGAAATCCTAATGTGCGCTTCACTGAAATCTATACTCAAATGAATTTTAAAATGAAGAATAATTGACTGAAATTTTGGTGTAGACGATTCCCAGATTTTAATATTTTTTCTTTTTAATAATTATTTAAGTTCTAAATTTAGGACAGATGTTAGTGTGCGGTTGATAAATGCACACAGATAAATATAACCTTACTCCTGACCCTTCCCCTCGTCCTTAATTAAAAAACTTTAATAACTTAAAACTATTCATTTAAAACTGGCAATCGAACAGACAAAATGTTCAACAAATTATTCATAATTTAAAAAGTACCATTTACCATTCAACTGGTAAAAGTTGATAAAACTAGATAATACTTAAAAAGATAAAAACATGTGGTTACTAGTCACCAAAAAATTATATTATTATATTAATTTTCAACAATACACTAAAATGTCATTTCCAAAATACATTCAAAAATATGTAATATAAAACAATACACTTATATTAAACAAAGGAAATGTATAATGTTAAACGTTTTGATTAGAATATACATTTATAAAATAGTATGAATAATGCAACAGCTTTGTTGTTGCTGAATTATACATAAAAAATATAGTATATAATATCAAAAACTAACTTAAAAATATTAATTGTATAAGTATTTTACCAGCGCTTAACTTTAATTTTAAAATTATGCTTCGATTCAAACGATGACTATTTTCTTTTAAGCCTGATTTATCTACATGTCTTTTCCTATAACTTTGGAAATTGTCCGATAATCCATCTCTCAACATAGTAAACTCTATGGTTACACCCCCCCCCCCCCGCTTTTGTTTTATAAATGTATATTTATAAATAAATCAATTTGATTTTGATTTTTACGAAAAACCATTTTTACTTTTGCAAGTTTTTTGCTACCAATTCATTTTTGTACACGTAATTTATTGATTATATACATGTATATTTTATATACACATTTTATTTCAGTTAAACGTACATTAGGATTTTGCTGTATGTTATTGCCAGATTAGTCATCGATGCCAATTGTTTTAGATATTAGAATACATATATGACTTGTTTTCGACTTAAGGTCTGGTTCGAAAACAAATAAAACAAAATATGCTGTTGTTTTTTTGGGTGTTACTCAAGCTTGACCGAAGCCGAAATAATTTTTTAATTATTTTATAATAATAGCCCATGTGTTAATTGTTTTATAAATAATTTTCTTCGCTGTTATTAAACAATAAGCTTATTTGTATTCTCCACATGGTGACTCTGGTGTTGATTTTTTGCCCGAATTAGCAAAAGTATCAGACCATATAAGATTAAAAAAATCAATCGATATTTTTTTAAAAAAAAAAGGTCCATCAAAGACCTCGACATAGGGTTGACCTTACTTTAAAAATGATTACGGAGACACTCAATACTTAAGAATTTGATCTACAATGCCATTAGAAATTCTCAAAACGACCAAAATAAACACTATAAAATATTTATAAGTATTTGCTATGGATTTTTGAAAATAAAAACATACTAAAAGTAATAAAAAAATTCAAATTTATAAATACTGGCGTTCAGACATTAATACGTTCAAGTTTAATGTCAGTTAAACCTTTTTAAAATCGACTACTATTATTTTGTAAGGATATCAAATTGATATGTATATTTACCCAGAACTGAATTAATGATTAACTTTTTTTTAACTCTTACTGTTTTTAATAAACTGCAATAATTGCCAGGATTTAGCCTAATTGAAATTATCAGGCTTAAAATTAATACAACGCATCTTATAAAAAAAATTGCAGTGTACAAAGTATCAAACTAAAAATTACAAAAACATGCACGTGAAGTTGCCTACCAGAATCCCCGTCTTATTAATAAAACGTTAATAATTTAATTCATATTTTCAAAACAGAGGCCCATTAAATAAAATCTGATATGTTTTATATATAAAAAGCAGTGCATTATTTAGTTTAGAAAAAAAAATTCTCTTTATTTTTTGTTAACATAATTAAATTAAATAAAAAATTTAAAAAAACATAAAGAGAAAATATTATATTCTTGTAACGACCTAATCATATTAAAAGTACTGACCTTAACTGTGTTAGACACTCGTTAAATATTTCACTAGTTTTTTTAAATCACTTAATTTTGCCATCAAAATATTTTAATCGATAATTTTTCACGTTTTACATGTTCATAATATAAGGAGATGGAGATAGGCAATATTACAATCGTATGTTTTTAATGTACTTTAACTGAAAATATTATCTTTGTGATTTATACTTATATTCATTAGTGAATCGAAGCTTGGGTGGATTTCTGCAGGTGAAAACCTCCAGGATCACCACAATTGTACCACAAAAGTCAGTTTATGGATAGCCAAAATTTTATCCTTCTCTTTTAAAATTGAGAAAAATATATAGGTTTAAAATTTTTGCGGATACTTGTCGGTTTAAGGGGCTGAAAATTGAACTTAAAACCCAATGACACTATTAAAGTGTTTAAGTAACTTATTGAGGGAATATAAATTTAAATAACCATAGAAATAATTACTTCCGTTTTGCGTGAGCCGGTAGCCGATAAGACGTTGTTAACGATGACTTTACTACAGAGATATTCGCTGTTATTAATGGTGTACATAAATATTCTATTATATACATATAAATTACAATACAAAGCATAGTGTTAAACCGCGTTAAGAAAGATTAATTACCAAATATATTAATCGCGTGGATGTCGAAATGATAAATTGTAATTTCACGAACAAAGTCCACGCGTGTGACATTAATATATATATATTTGTACATGTGAAAATGATTTAACATTATATTATATTATTTTTATTTACATTAATACATAAAAAAAATGTTGACTACAGATTTTATTAAGAAAACTATTTATTCGAATTTTTGCCCTGTTTTTAGATCTACGTTCGGTCTAATTTAAGCCTACAAGCCTACTAGCAATACACATAAATAGTTAAATAAAAAAAGAGAAATTAACTTTAAAAATGGTTTTTAAATTACTTAGTAAAATTTATTTAAATACAACAGTATAATAATTTGCTTACAAGTGCCACTACTCCGTTTAACTGCAGTAAGCATAAAAATATATGAGTTTTGATTTGTTATTATTCAAAAAATAATAACGAATTTGTTTTATTAGTTAAAAACGAAATCGTTTACCTATTTACGTTTACCTAATTAATTTTACTTTAATTTTAAAATTCAAACAATGACTATTTTCTTTTTAAGCCTTATTTATCTACATGTCTTTTCCTATAACTTTGGAAATTGGCCGACATTCTATCTCTCAACAAAGTAAACTCTATGGTTACACCCCCCTCCCGCATTTAGTTTTATAAATGCATATTTATAGATATATCAATTTTGTTATGATTTTTACGAAAAACTATTTTTACTGTTGCAAGTTTTTTGCTACCAATTCATTTTTGTACACGTAATTTATTGATTATAAACATGTATATTTTATAATACACTATTACTTTTGCTATTGGGCGGCTATTTATAAGAAATTAATAAAATCCTAAACCATAATTAAGTATCGAATACAATATGAAATAATATATATGTAATACACACATATTTATTTCTGATTTACAATACACATTGCGTATAGTATAACTATTTAAGTTTTATGTTAGTAGTACTTTTGAAATAAGCAACCAAAAAGGCAATCTTTTCGATAAAAATTTTTTTGTATTGACCTATTTTTTTCAACTATACTTTTTAGGTACTTTGATAAGGTCTAAATGTATAATAGTTATATGTATTTATAACTCTTAAATATAATTAGGTCATCTAAGCCAAAAGTTAGTAAATATTGTTTTTATACAATGTGATCTCAATTTAACCTGACACCTGATTATAACACTCTTCAATACACAAAATCGCTAT